AAGTTTGTCACTAATTATGGTTAAAGCTGTCAACTTCAGTCCTTAATAGGGTCTTCTTACTATTCAGATCCATTTTCTCTGTTCTATTTGCAAAAAGCTTCCATTTTTCTCATTTTAATTCTGTTGACCATATGTATATTTCTCTCATAACCTTTTACTTCCCACAGTAATTTTCTACAATTCCTAGCTCTCAGTGTACATGTATGATACCACATTCTTTCTTGTTTCACAGATGTTTGCCTTGTAAACTACCCCGGATTTTCAGCAAATGTATTCCTTAATTGTGGAATTATGGCTATGTGAGTATCTGCACTAACATCCTTAAACCGTTTCCAATTCTCATTCTCCCATTTCAGATTAAATTCTTTCTCCCAATAGAAGTATCTTATAATAATATTCACCTTTATAAAATTAGCCCTTTCGAAGGATTAAGTATATATATTACTGGTTTGGACTTGATTCTGTTTGCACATTAAAAATGTGATCAAATCATTATCAGTTACACCTAAGCTATGGCTAATTTTTAGTTCTGTGATCAATTCCTTTTCATCTGGCAAGATTAGGTCTAATCTAGAATTCCTCAGTGTTGGATGCAACACCTTTTGAGTTAGGAAAATGACATTTTAAATATTTTGAAATTCCAAGTACATTTTAACACTGGCAGCATGAGACCTTCAGCATATGTCACTCAGATTGAAATTCACTCGGTACAGCAGTGCTTTCCCTGTATGTTGTAGGTGGGTAAGGCATAGGTCATGCTGCTCTCTAGTGTGATTTGATATCAGCTAAGTACCCTGTCAGCTTCTGACTAATCCGTTAGAACACTGACCCATAAACATTCAAGATCTTTTGCTTCCAGTTGCCATCAACTCAGAAAAGGTAATGCCACTTTTGAAGTGCTTTCTGTCCACTTGATCCTTCCAAAATAGATAATAACAATTGATTTTGACATTTTTGTTTTCCAAACAGTTTTAGCAATAAAAACTAGGTCAAATCTGTGTTAAAAAGTGGTTCTTCTGTTGGTGTCAAGTTTCCAACATTAAAAGAGAAGTTACTGAAAAATCTCTGCTCTTTGTGTTCTCTTATAGTTTTGATTTGCACTTAGCAAAAGCTTGTTGGTTCCTTCTCAATATTTCCACCTCTGACCAGCCCCTTGACTCCAAGGAGACCAGTCTCTTAGAAGAACAGCTCCTTTTGGACATTTAATTAAGCAGCAGGCTCTCATCAACAGAAAGTGACAATGTTTTCCACAAACCAAACATCTTCAGGTCATGTCACTTACTCAGATATTCAGTCTAGTATTTCTTCTACTTGCTCTTTCCCCCTACTCAGAAGTCCTGAAGGATGTTGGAGAGGATCACAGGTCCTGAAAGGACAGAGGGCAACAAAGATGATTAAAGAACTGGAGCATCTTTTTTACAAGGAGAGGCTGAAGGAGTTGGGCCTGTTCAGCCTTGAGAAGAGGCAACAGAGGGGACCATCAATGCATATATGTATCTGAAGAGAGGCTGCCAAGAGGATGGATCCAGGGTCTTCTCCGTGGTGCCAAACAATAGGACGAGAGGCAACGGGCAGAAACTGATGCACAGGAAGTTCCACCTGAATATGAGGAAGAACTTTTTTACTGTGTGGGTGACCAAGAACTGGAACAGATTGCCCAGAGACATTGTGGAGTCTCCCTCACTGGAGATACTCGTGAACCATCTGGACAGAATCCTGTGCCATGTGCTCTGGGAGGACCCTGCTGGAGCAGGGAGCTTGGACCAGACTGACCCACTGCGATCCCTTCCAGCCCGACCCATTCTGTGAAAGAAGAAAGGGTGTCCATGTGTCATCTATGACACTGCCCACACTTCCTTAGGTATCAGTACAATATTGGCCTGGCTCTCTGCTTGCCAACTGCAGAAACTCGCTCAGCCTTGAGGGATGCTCCC